TCTAGAAGGAGTTTTTAAATTATTAAAAGAGGCCGGTCTTACAATTAACGCCTCAAAATGCAAGTTCGCAACTAAAGAACTTAAATATCTGTGTAATGAAATTTCGCAAAAGGTTATATAGAAACTCAAGATTCAAAAATAAAAGAAATCACGAATTTCCCACCTCCCAACACCGCCAAGAAACTTTCTTCTTTCCTTGGGTTATGTTCTTATTATCGGTCATTCATAAAAGATTTTGCTAATATTGTTGAACCCTTGTTAGTAATTAAAAGAAAGAAAAGAAAATTCACGTGGACAGCAGAAGCAAATACCGCATTCGAAAGGTTAAAAGAAGCGCTTATCAATGCCCCTGTTTTGAAATTCCCGGAGGGGGACGAAAACCTGGAAATTGCAGCAGATGCGTCGGACTATGCTGTGGGTGCGGTTCTTATGCAAAATGGCCATCCTTTGGCATTTTTTAGTAAAACGTTGAATCCTACACAAAGGAATTATACAGCTACAGAGAGAGAAACATTAGCCGTATTAATGGCTGTACACAAATTTCGAGTTTATTTCGGCAAAGCGCCAGTAACAGTCTTTTCGGATCATGCGGCTGTTGGTAGACTTTACTCGGGGAAAAAACCTAACGCCCAGGTTAATAAGATGGGCTTTAAAACTCCAAGAATATAATCTCATAATTAAGTATAAACCGGGTAAGGAAAACAATGTAGCTGACGCACTTTCTCGTATAAAACTGGACGATGAAGGAAATGAACTTAAATGCGCTGTGTTGACTTCAAAAATTTTAGATTCTAGAGATACAATTATTGCTGAATTGAAAGCTGATCCTGAATTTGGAAGTATCTATGCATATTTGAAAGACCCCGAAAGCTTTGAGCACACAGATCGATATGCGATAAGAAATAGATAGAATAGAGCAGAAAACTATGAAATAATAGATAATTTATTATTTTATACGAAAACAACAAACGAAAATCTCGAGTACAAACCAGTACAAACCAGTCATCCCAGCCTCGCTTCGATTAAGCATTTTGAAGGAATTACACGACGCGAAAACAGCGGGTCATTTAGGGGTCAGAAAGACTTTAAAAAGGGTACGCGAGGCGGTATATTTCCCGCAATTATACAAAATAGTAACTGCGTATGTCAGGTCCTGCAATCAATGTCAGTTAATAAATGATATTAATTACAGCCCGGCCGGGTACTTAAATAGCATTCGCGCTACATTTCCGAATGAAATTTTAGGCATAGATCTTCTTGGTCCTTTCCCCCAGAGTGAGTTAAATAAAAATCGTTTTCTTTTAGTAATTGTAGATCATTTTTCAAAATGGACAGAAATTGTTCCACTTAAACGCGCGTCAGCCAAAACAGTCGCAGATGCATTCTTACACAGATACATTTTAAAATACGGTGCACCGATAAAAGTCATTAGCGATAACGGTAAACAATTCGTTAGCCAAATATTTGAAAACATATGCACTGGACTTGGCATACGCCATATCAAAAAGGTTCCGTATAGATCACAGGCAAACATAGCAGAAAGAGTTAATAAAAAATATTGTAAAAATAATTCGAAGTACTGTTAGCACACATAACAAGCGCTGGGATGGCTACATAAATGAGTTAGCTTATGCTTTAAGAACGGCAAATCACGATACTACGGGAGAAACTGCAGCAGAATTATTTTTAGGACGGAAGTTAATCACGCCATCAGATAAATTATTCTTTGTGCAACAAAGAGAGCAAGAATTTAAACAAAAAGATGTGCAAAAACTTATTGACCAGGCGGTTAAAAGCTCGGATACGGCAAGAAATAGACAAAAGTTATACTATGATAGAAAACGCCGTGAAGCAGATTTTAAAGTTGGGGATAAAGTGTTGAAGCGGAAATTTTCTTTATCAAGTGCCCCAGACAATTTTACTGCAAAGTTAGCTCCAAAATTTGAAGGCCCCTATGTAATTCAGGAAATCAAGGGAGTCGTATTGTACCTTAAGAACGAGAGAGGGGAAATCTGTAAAGCAAGTGCCGACCAGGTGAAAAAATATTATAATCAAAATGATTTTGAAATCCTTAAAAGTTTCTTGCAGGACTCAAGCGTAAAAAAAGTAGAAGGTCCAGAAGTAACGTCACCAGCTCCACCACCCAAGAAGCAGAGAACTGAACAGAAACCTAGCCCTGCTACAAGTCATGCGACGGTACCGAAAAGAAGAAATGAAAACGTTCAGACTCCAGCATTTAAGAAATACAAGAAAGCAAACGCCGCCGCGTAAAGAACTTTGGTAAAGAGGAAAACACCACTTACAACGTATCGCAGTAGAAATTCTACATCGAGGAGAACGCTTCCAGGGCCAGAGAGTCAGGTGCAAACAAGGCCGCCGTTCCCGAGAACGAAAAGACAGCAGGAGGAACGAAAAGACCACCACCAACAGAAGAAATTCAAGCACGATTCCAGACCGGAGGACGCCAAGACCAGCCGTCCAGGGGCAAAACGGAAAAGACAGCAACCCGACGACTACCACTCCAAGAGGCCAGCATGCAGAGGGCGAAAAAGAAAAGCAACGTGGACGACACTCGAAGGACCCTAAGGAGACGACTGACGTCGATGAAATCTATAACGTGGGAGCAGTTCTGCCAGAAGAGGATGTCGGAGTTCCAATCATCGAAAACTCAAAGATAAGTTAAAATCTTCTATAATTTTTTTTTTTTTTTGTTCCGAAATGTTATGCGTAAATACGAAGTTCTATGTTTTGACGGAAGTCAATGTGTCTCGGTTGAGACTTAGTTTTGTTTTACTTTATTTAGCTAAGGCAAAAGTATTATTTTCTTTAAGTGTAAAATCTAAGGAACAAGCAGTTTCTGTTGGTCGAAAGACTAATTCTGTTATGTTAAAGCCAAAATTTGGCCGAAGATAAAAATAACTTCGTATTCTTGTATTAATAAAACTTTAGTTTCAGTGCCTCCAGCTTGGCGAAGAATGAGTAAAGTAAAAATTTATTTTTCTCTTATTCATTTTATGGTAAATTGTAAAAAATCATATGTATTAGAATTTTGTAAATATACGTAAATACTTGAAAGTTATGTAAAAGTAGAATTTAGTCTAGAAGCATAAAATTTTAGATGCTAAAAGTAAATGCTCAAAAGCAATGAATTCAAATTTAAGTATTAAACTGTAGATAAAATCATGCTTTAGAGCGAAAGCCTGCATGTCTAAAGATGAATGAGGGGGAATTTAGAATGAATGTGTTTTGTAGGGTTCTCCACCTACACTTGAATTTTAAGAATGTTAAAGTAGCTCATCGAGTTGTAGAATGTCGAGTAAGGTGTGTCTATTTGGTCGTTGAATTCTAACAAATCATTGTGGTTAGGGGAAGTGTTGCAATACTAAAACACGAATATTCCCGTTTGACACCACACATGGTGGAGAGCCAGGGTAAAGTTAAATTCATGTTTGAATACTTGAATGAATGTGAATTAAGCAGTAACTAAGGAAAATAAATCGTTCAAAAACAAAAACTTATTCAGTGTCAAGAAAGTGTAAATTATAATGTATTTAGAAAGATACTGATACTTATTCCTTCCAGATGCTGGAAGGAAGAGAACAGATTGATTGCTGAAGTCCAGGAAAGGTTGCTGTAAGAAGAGAGAATTAAATAAGTATCTACAGAAATTTATTCTACCTTTTGTGAGATAAAACAGTTTTTTTTTATGTAAACGAGGCTCTTAAAATTTAGATCAGAATTGTGGAAACTTTCAACAGGTCGTTTCTAGGACCTGCTTCCAAGTTTTACCAAATTCTGGCAGCGGCAAATGTAGGGTTTATATTTATTTTAACTAACATTTATTTTAAGTTTAAACTATCTTTCCTGTTCAAGCCTTACTTTCCCCTGGAATTGCCAATGCCAGAGTATGTAAATTTTAGTAGAACGCGCAAAGGATTCAAATTGTCAGCGGAAGTAATCTGAGTTAAATAGAAGGGAAACGAGTTCGAAAGTGTGCTTTCTTGCTTCACGAGCGTGGAGGTGGCTAGTTAGAAATTGAAGAACCACGCGTTTCGGCCTGTGTGCTTGCCTCGGCAGATTGTTAAATCTTTCAACGTAATATTCAGAAGTTTGCTGAATTATCAGCGGTATCTTAGAACGCGGTGAGGTTAGTTACGTTTAGAGAGCCTCGTAGTTAGTCACTTTGTTATTATTTTTTCATTTTTAGTTTCTATTTTTTATTTTACCGCCGGGTCGGCGTAGTTTGTGAGCGTCAAGAGCACGCATTTGTAATTTCTAAAGTTGAATAAAAAGGGATTTATTTAAACCCTTCTCAAGAATTTGTCTACTTTCCAGTTCTTAGCAGTCACCACTATTGTTGCGTGCAGGTTGGAAGCGCGCAACATTACAACCTAGCAATTCATATAGAGAGAGTTTTTTTATATTGTTTAATACGCAAGTTTTGTTATGATGAAATCAGAGGCAATGATTAACTTGAAATTTAAGTTGTTTATAAAAAAGGAAGTATTTGTCTCGTCGAAACCAAATTTTAAAAGGCATCTGATCTGAAGTATTAATACCTAAAATATATATGATTCTACAGTATATACATGATACAGTAAATATATATGATTTTTGTGTTATTTAGATGTAAAAGATCAGTAATCAATTCATTTTCACTCAAAAATTTCGGAAAATGGTGGTTTCAAGGCGTGACCACCGCGCGTCAAAGGGTTAATAAGAAAGATTTACTGATACATACAACTTTATAAACATTACTAAAGACATAATACAAACACCTGTTAAAATATTATTTTGTTTAATATTTCATTCAAATCTACATTCAATCTTCTATGCATTAAAATCTTTTGAAATTACAGCATTCATTTCACAAAAAAGTATATTATGTGATCATATTTAATATAATTAACAAGCAACAAAAATATAAACCCCAAGCTGAAGTAATTTAATTTTAATTACTTAAAGTGGAAGAATTTAAAACTGAAAACAAAATTATATACCAAATATGAGCAAGAACCACTTGAGATAACCCTGATTTTAAAAGTGTATCTTTAATATCAGGACCAGAGACAAATCCATCTTTATCTGTATCTAAGGTGTGAAACATTTCATCATATTTTGCTTTGTCAATGGCATTTACAATCCATGTTGGTCCTCTGCCAATAATCTATAACAAATTAAACAATATTAGTACAGAGAAAACTAAAATATCAAAATAATAATAAACAAAGAAAAAATTTTAAAAAAGTTAATGACATACTTGGTTTGTAAGTTGAATGTAATGTTCTAAAATATAATTTTTTATTTTACATATCAGTGTGGAAATTTCAGCATTTTCAAAAAGTTTTAAAAATATAATATTACAAATCAATAATCATGTATTTAACACACCTTAAGAGAATGTATGCATCTTAAAGTTTTACCATATATTTTGGCAATTTTTTTGAATTAGTGCTGAAAATTACTTCTGCTTTGTAGCGAAACCACTGCCCAGTAAATGATTAAAAAAATAAAAATACTTTCTAAAAAAAAAAAAAAAAAAAAAAAAAAAAAAAAAAAATCATGATAATGTTGCATGTGTATGTGTTCACAATAGATTGAATTATGATAATTTTTTTTATCAAAAGGAACACTTCAGAGTTCTGGAATTTTCTGCAAAAATAGTCACATGACTCTTCACAGTATCACAGAGTACAATCAGTAGTTACATTTCAAACTACTAAGAATGTTAAACACAACACAATGCTATTTGACTGGGGATGTAAAGATGCCATTTGAGTTTCATCGATGCCAAGTAGCTTCCACAGTTCTTTATTTACAGCTGAGGTAAAATTTCTTTTTTATCAGAACATAACTGAAGAAGCACTTAGAACCTGGAAATCCAATGCTGTTCACCTCAGCTACTGTGACAGCCCCTTCATCAGGAATAGAACACATTTCAGACCACTTGGTGAAGACAACACTCAATAACATGACTCACTTGGTGAAGACACTCAATGACAAAGAGGATGTATTTATTATTATCAGTAGTCCATCGCAGAAGTCCCAGGATATCAAAAGGACACCTACATTGTAATGCTGTAGCTTCCCTCAGCTGCGTTTCTTTGGTCCTTTCCGACATGCACAGGCATCGCAGGATTAGCACCACTTTTGCACATCAACCCTTGCGTTACTCCAGATAAAGCACTCTCAAACTATCTGCAAAGTAATCATTATTCTGAAGTGGCCTCTATTGAACTGCTATGTAATAGTTTAAAGATGTCCAGGATCCGGGATCTTGGAAGTATCATCAGCTGTCAGAATGCCTTTCCATCATCTGATTCAAACTTCTGATAAAAAATAGTTTCAAATATGTAGTGATTCCCAGAGGGGCCAATATTGTTTTGTTGTACGCCTACAGATCGAAATGTCTTGCCAGGTAGGTTTTTATATTTGAAGATCCCATTAAGGCAAATATGAGTTTAATGTTACTGTCTTCCAATTGGTCTTTTCTGACTTCTTCATCACTCCATGCGTCTCGATCCAGTCTCAAGGCAGACTAGGTAATCCAGTCTGCCTTGAGACTGGATTACCTAGCTTATATTTCACTTTGAACCTGGAACAATATCCGCAGCTTTCTGGGCAGGGTCTTCTAGACACAGCGTCGGCATTTCCACAAGATGATCCTTTCGGATGACAGTTAGTGAGGTCATACTTCTGGAGTCTCTGCATCCATCTGGCTATTTAGCCGTTAGAATTCTTGAAATTTAAAAGCCAGGTCAATAGTGTATGATCTGTGCTGACCACGAATTTTCTGCCATGCAGGTAATGATGTGATCTATAGCTGGATGTGTTCTATAGCTTTACCTGCTATAGAATGAAAGCTATAGTGTTCTATAGCTTTACCTGCGTCGAGCAACTCTTTCCTGGTGGCACAGTATTTCCTCTCCAGTTCAGACAGACACTTGCTCCAGCATGCCATGACACGTCTTTACCATTTATTTCTTCGGACAAAACAACACCATTCACTGCTTGCATCTGTGTCGAGAACAAATGGTTTGTCAAGCTGAGGCTACGTCTGGATTGGAGCAGATGTTGAAGCTTCCTTCAGTTTTTTAAATGCATCCTCACATTCTTTTGTTGACAAGAACTTTTGCTTGTTCTCTGTCAGCTTATGAAGAGGTTTTGCAATGGAAGAAAAGTCCTTCACAGATCTCCTACAGTAAGTGCAAAGCCCCAGGAAACTTCTCAGCTGATGGACATTCTCAAGGCATCTCCAGTCTTTGACTGCTAACAGTTTTTCTGGATCCATACATACATAGTTTATATTTGGTGAAGTTAACTTTTCTAAAATTTTCTAGATGTTGTTCAAAACTGTTTTCGACAATGATGTCACCCAGGTATATCAGACAGGCTTCGTAAGAAAGACCTCTCAACACAGTCTCCATGAGGAATTCAAATGTTGCCAGCTTATTACATAGTTAAAATGGCATCATCCTGAAGTGCCAAAGTCCTTGTCCGATAGTAAATGACATCTTTTCTTGGTCACCAGGGTGTATCTCTACAATATCCACACAAGTCAAGTATTAAAAATTACTTGTTTCTAGAAAAAGTGTTCAGAATGTTGTCAGTTCTAGGAAGAGGGTAGCTGTCTTTCTTCTAAACCTTGTTCAACCAGCTACAGTCAATGCAAAATCTTGTTGAACAGTCTTTCTGTCCAGAACAATGGGAGAGGCCTAATGACTTGCTGAAGACTCAATAATGTCGCTTTCTTGCATTTCCTTTCTAAGTTTTTTTTTTTTTTTTTGATTGATGGATGATCCCCTGCATCAATTCTATGCTGTGTCAAATGGGTTCGCTCTACATCAGAAGATGAGTAGAAGAAAATACCTTGAAATTCTTGAATGACATGCTTGGAAGCAAATCTATTTTCATAGCTTGGATGTGAATTCTGCAATAACTCTGATGTTAGGCTCTCTGAAGACGTGTATTTTAAAGCATTACTGTTTCATTTAATGTAAATCACAGGAATACATGCTGCAACTAACTTCACCTTTCCTAATCACTTTATCACTTTCGCTTTATCTATAGAGGCAACTCTCACTGGAATAATGGTCCTCTATAGGTCAACAAGTGCTGAGGCTAACAGTAATCCTCGTGGCATGTTACAGTTCTTGGGTGATTCCATTATATCATACCAAAAATTTGTTTTTGGCTATGGATACAGGAAGAAAAAATTATGTTATTGTTGGGATTCTGACATCATCTTGAGCTATGGTTTGGCATGCAGATTTAACTCCTTCATCATTATTTCTAAATAGAGTAATATCCTCAGAGGCAGAATGCAGTTCATTATTTTTAGAATCCAAGAAATAACTGTATTTCTGTAAAAAGTCTGACCCAAGTATGCAAGGGACTGTAATATTTGCTACATATACTGTGTAATGTTAGGCAGCAGTTCCAAATGTGATGTCAACATTTAATTTTTCCACCTATGTTGATTTTATTCCTGTGCACAGTCTGAAGAGTAATGCAGGAAGGCAATTAGATGAGTTTAAATTCCAGTCATTGAGCCAGATTGTTTCTAATCCACGAGTTCTAAAATGCCGACGATTCTATTTGGGAGAGCTTTCGATTTCGACATTCATTTCAAACTTGAATCATAACTCAAAATTGGTCTTAATGACTATTTATTTACACACTTCTTTTATATTACAGTATTTACATGGTTCAAGATTAATTTTAAATCAAAAGATAGAGATTATCCCCCTTCGAATCAAATTCTATTAAGAAAAGAAGAGTAACTGACCGCTCACTTCCAAGTTTGTTTTCGACTCCCTGTTGCCACTGGCAGAAGCAAAACTTTTGCTCATTTCACGTTCAAGTTGTAACACAGATCTTTTCGGATGATAGTGACATTGGCTTCTGCATTGATGGTCAGATACTGCAAAGAACTCCATTGATATGTTCCACGATGAAGAACCACCACTTGCTGCAGAAATGTGAAGCATTTTAAAATGAGGCTTCTCATTATCTGACAACCTAAACGCCATGAGATGGTCACTAATTAGTTTCGCATCTTCTTGCTGGAAGTAGTCTTAGCTTATGTGCCCTGCAGTGTTCTGCAGTTCACTCATACATGGCCTTAAGCACTGCAGTTCCAGCACTTTAGGGTTGGTTTCTTGTCAATAGTATTCCATATCAAGGCACTGACCTATCTGGTTAAATTGTCTAAACAAGCAGTCACTCGATCCACTGGCCTCTTGGAATAGAGCACCTCCGATTTGGTGGCAGTATCTATGAGCTGCTTGCTGTGCTGCCGTGAACTTCAAGGCATATACAAGAGTGCTTTTTAAATCCTTGACATGGGCCATTTACATGGCTTTCTGTATCTTAGGCTCTCGAACGCCATTGATGAAGTACTGCAAGGACGGAATTTCCCTTGTTTCTGAAGGGCAGTCCAAAGATGCAAGATGAGGCAGCCTTTCAACAACAGTGGAGAGCTCCTGGAATGTTTCCATGGGCTTCTGTTAGCAGGATTTTAACTCAAGCCTGTTAAACACTTCTCACCAGATCTACGAATCGCACAATCTAGACAGTGAAGGAATCTACGAACTACACACACCTTACTTATAAATTAACATTAAATTAATAAATTAAACATTAAATTGCTAATAAATTAACATAAGAATAATAAATTTCAAGAATACTGTGTACACAGCATTCTGTTAAAACTTCAAAAAACATCTACAAATTGCACAATAAAGGCACTGCGCACTAATCAACGAAATAAACTAAAATAACTAAATTTCAAACAATTAAAAAAAACCAACAATAACGACAGAAATTCATACTAAAAAACAATGAACATAACACTCTACTAAATAAGAACAAGAATAAAACAAAATGCATTTACCATAAATAAATGCTTCTTCGAACAGCAGAAGTACCAATTTCAAACATCACCAAAACAATTTCATCACAAATTTGTTAAAAGCATCTTCTCCCATTTCAGAAAATTGATGGAAAAATATATAAACCGCATTTCCGATTATAAGTCGGCAACGTCGCTTTAACATGCTGCCACGTAATCTCTATCGTATTTATATGGCAGCCAATCTCACTATCCACAAAATTGATACTATGTTTCAGGAATAAATGTTCAAAACCTTCTTCTCCTAAATACTTGTAGAATTTCCAGCCACCCGTAAAAATAGTTGTACCAGGCACTAGACTAAAATTTTGCCAACACGTCATAAAACACTTAATTACCACACGAACCAACTAGCAGACCCAAGTTTCCACGTAAAAAGGGTTGCCATAGAAACCAACATCGCCCCCCACAGAACAGAACATGCAATCGCACCAAACACCAGCGCACAACACACATCGCCACATTTGGCAACCTTAGAAAGCATATAAGAGTAGAGCAAATACATCTTACAATACTGTTTAGTTCAATTTGGTAAATTGAAAAATTCACAATATATGAAATGATATATTTATTTTGTTAAATTTACATTTAAAACTAATCTTAATTTTTATTTTAAGTTATAGCAAAAACAGTAATGTGGTTCAACATCTTAAATTACAAGAAGTTCTTATGCACAACATGAAAACAAAATTTGTGAATATCAGAAATCAGACTAAAGAGAGTTCTAAAAATATGTATGCATGAATGTGTATATGTATACATATATACATACTAATTACTAAAGTACTAATCAGTCATATACACTAGAAAATAATATTTCATTCAGCAACATTAATCATTGCATACAATAAATTACATTTAAGTGAAGATTTCTTTTATTTATTAGAAACAAGGAAAAAATACTATAATTTATTATTTAGTAAAGCTGGCATTCATCAGAATTTGAGAGCTAAATAAAATTGTGGCTCAATATATAGAAAGACACACATTTAAAAAGAATTTTATGAAACCAGGACATGCACTAGACCATAACATGAACATGTACTAGAACATATTATAAAACTTAAACATAATTTCTAATTAACTATATTCCTACATCAGAAGATGGTGTACTGGATCTCCTAATGTGACCAGTAACAGTATTATCAATACTGTGAGGCAAAACATCTGGTAATACTTTAACCATTCCAGATATACTATGTTTTCGCTTAAGAATAGCCATCAATTCAGGAGGTAACACCGAAGGTACTGGTATATTCTCCAAAGCTTTATAAACTAGATGCATGGCCTGAAAATAATTTTCAGTATTAAAAGATATATCAAATTCTACATAATATTTGCAACAATAGAAAACAATTTACATGAAAAATTATTTTATACTTACTAATATAAATTCTTCTTTGCTTAAAAAACCATCTTGATCTGTGTCACTGAGATCCCAAATCTATATGACACATAAAAACATAAGTATCAGTTTTATTTTATTTTATTTTATTTTTTTTTTATTTTTTTATTATTTATTTATTTTTTTTTTTTTCAGGTTGTGGGTTATTCAATGCAGATGAAAAAATTTAACTATGCCTTCAAAGTTTATGCAAATGTTAGTAATTTATCTATCCTTCAGAATCTACTAATTGGTTAAAATTATTATTAATGGCATTCATATAAATTTTTACTTTCTTATTAATTTCTAAAATGAACATGCTTCAAATTATCAGTTTACAGTCAGTTATGAGAATGCAGCATTTGTTATAAAAAGAGTATACAATACCCATTGCTTATTAAAATCACTTCCTTTCCAAAAGTATACAAGTTTATAAAATGGCTGCGTATAATAGGTGATGATTTGTATATTACAAACTGTGATATTAATTTTGAACTTATCAAGCATAATAATGACTTACAACTAATTAATTAATCCAAAAATAATAGTTATAAATTAATGCTAAAATTAAACTACTTCAGAATTTTAAAAATCTTTTATAAAAATACTTTTATAATTATATTCTTGATGAAACTTTCTCTCTTGCAAAAAACTACTCTCTATGCTTCATATTGTTCAACAAGTTTTTCTTGATCAGCATCCTGCAGTTCAAGAACTTTTTTTACAATTTTTCCAGTGCTTTTCTAGATTTAACTGATGATGACATGCCACTTTCACTGTCAGTTTATGGAGCTATTTTTACACTTTCATTGTCAGTTTTTATACATGTTGTCTCAATATTGTTCTGAACTGACACACATTCTAAAAATGAATCTGCAATTTCCCAGTTACTGTTTCTGAAACAGTAACTATACTCTGCAATTCCCCCGAGGTAAAAAAAAAGTCGCATTTTTTAAAACAGTTTTTGGCTGATTTTAAGAGACTAAACCCGTGCATTGACTATAATAATATGCATGGACAGATATCGGCTATGCTCAGATATCGATTTACTTATCTCCTTCGAAGTGTTTGCATTTTCATGAAATTCAATTCTATTTATCATTTGCTGAACATCTTTCTGTAATGATACTTGAAAACTTTTATAATATTCTAGAATTAAAAGTTGAATGTTAGAAGTTGTATTTGCAGTAAGAGATAGTATACATTTTCATTAAGGTATGAGACAGGTGTGTTTGTATATGGGCTGCACAGTTAACTAGTTAGAAAAGCTATTTAATCATTTTTCAGTTTGCTGTCTCATTTAAAAAGAAATATACTAAAAATACTATTTGTCATCCATGAGTTCTTATTGCTATGGTATGTTAGAAATCTATTTTCGACTTCTTACATGGAGGTTTTTTGCTTTTATCAAAAACTAGTGCTGTCTTCTTAAATGGTGGGCCCATATTGTACATTAGAAATACAGTAACTTATTCTTAACTAAATCAACTACAATTTCACTTTTACACAATAATGTGTTCTGGACACACTTTCTAGATAATCAAAATGCCTGAGCATAATATCAGAGCAGAAGACTGGTTGCTCGTTAATCACTCCTTGCTTTACTCATTTATTTACTTAGACCCTGTTTTTTCCCTATTTATTTTATTTATCATTTACAATTTATAATTTACAATAAAATTCCCAATGGAATATTTAACCTTAAATCTTACACATTATTCTAGGAAGATAAGAAGATTTCTTTATTTTTTATTGCATTGAAAATTCTTGACGCAACCTATTGACACGAAATGATAGCTAATGAATAAATACGAATTCAATTTTTTTCTTTACTGATTATTATTACTGGACATAAATGAAACCTAATCTGTAATTTTCTGTTTGAATAGTTCAAAGAATTTACTTCAAATTCTGCAGCCTACATATGTGAAAGTTTTCCGATGAAGTGACATTATGAGATTTCAAGTTTCACCACAGTTGTAAATTTCAGAATGAATTTAAATCAGTATTATGTGCATCATTTACTATTATGTCATAAAGAAGATGAAATTAAAACTGATTTCTATTACTTTGCCATTTTTCTCTTTTAACTGTTTCTCATTTTAAGCCTGATATACTAATTTAAAAGACAATGAAAAATGTTTCATAAGGAATTAAAATATTGTGTCAACTCAAAATGTACATGTTTTTCAAGACAAAAAATTATGATGTTTTTAAGTGCTTAAATTAATACACTGTGACACTTTATAAAAGAAATAAATGATAGCTTGCTATCAAAGGTAAGTAATTGTTTCAAATTAAACAAATAACTAAAAATTAACAAATGTATCAAACCATAAACAAGTTTTCATAAATAGTTACAGAAATTATTTAAATATTTTTTTAATTATTGTTTCTGTTAAATAAAATTATCAAAAGTTGACAAGGTAAAATAAAAATTCACACATGAAAAACATTACTCAAGAAAAATATAAAAAGAAATTAAACTTTTATTCAAGAAATATTTAAAAAGAAATTAAACTTTTATTCAAGAAATATATAAAAAGAAATAAAAGTTTAAGTTCATATGCATTCCAAAAACATACTTAAATCGCTTCAACAAAAGGCTACATTATTGAATAATGGCCTCTATGGTAAGTATTGGTTTTGAATGTGGTTATTATAGTAAATACTATAAACATGTCTTTAGTATTTTAAGCACTTACAATGCAGATATCGTAACTACAAACATACTCATAAATATAAAAGTATTATTGACCTTTTCTTATATAAAAGATGAGAAATCTATGCAACACAGTCACTAAAAGTTTAAAAAGCCATAAATAAAATATTGCAAGAAATTAAAAAAACTACATACGAGATAAACTGTACAAGAGATTAACAATATTAAAACTATACAAGAAGAAAAAAAGAAAGAAAATATAATAAAGCATTAAATTTGTATCTATTAAGATGACATGTTTAAATCAATTTAAACCAGCTTATCAAAGTTAGTGTTATGCACCCATTAAGTAAGTTTTCCAATATACTGATATTTTTAGAAGTTTGCAGTTTCCAGTTTTAGGGTTCTGTTTAGTTACATCACTTCGTTTATAACAATAATTTTTTAGCAAACTGTTTGAACAAATCCAAAATACTTTTTTAATAATGTAAAAGTTAAGACAAAATTCTTTTATTGCCTTTTTATTGAAATATATGAATGAAAATTATATGTCATAAAGAAGATGAAATGTTGTTCAAAGTGTTTACTGTTCTTTCATCCTAATTTCTTAAAGTATAATTCCTTAAGATTAGTAATTTTCCCACTAGCTGTTTATTTGTTTCATTAATTTTTGTGCCATATTTATCACTTTGTATTGTTTAAATTATACACATATTTATCATAAATTAATATTAATAGCAATTATTTTTATATTTTATTTTAATTATTCACATATTCCTTGAGAAGCAAGCAAGAATTTGAAAAAAAAAAAAAAAATTATACACAGTAGAGTCAAAAGTCGTTAATCCGGACTCGTCAGGACTTCGGCGATTCCGGATTATATATCATCAGTTTAAATCTGGTAAGATGGCATGCAGAAATTATAAAATTAAAAATATGAAACCGTAATTTATGAAATAAAGAACAATTATGATCTAAAGGGTATCAAAATTTACAAAAAAAAAAGCTTAATATTTATTTGTTTACTTTATTAAACATTTCTTTCAATATAAGTTGTTTAAGTTGCCTCAATTTTTATGTGATAATACATTCTTTTTAATTCTATAAACAGACATAATTTCTTGTTCAGTTACAAAGTTCCGCTATTCAAGTCCTATAATTGCTGTGTCGAGAATACCGACTAATTTGTCAATCGAAATTTTTTCATTTTCAATAACCTATGTCACTTTCTTCGCTATTGGAAGCGAATTATAATGACGAGGAATTTGATTTAAATCATATCAAAGACGGAGTACATCGAGATGAAATACTACATTTAGTACGGAATTATAAGCCAAATAAAATAAAAACATCTTCCCTGAAGATAAGGATAGTGCTGACAGATCAACTTCCAATTTACTACACGCTGTGGCGTTAAAGATAAACAAACATTAAAGTTTAGATAAACAAAGAATATGCCTTTATCCAGTTTTTGCAGCAATTCTACTTTTTGTTTAATGGACTTCGAAACATACTTTCGCTTTGTAGATCCTTTACATATTAGTAAATATATATCAGAAATTCTATTTGACATAATCGAAAGTTCAAGCTTACTTTTATAAAATTGCTCTAACAGTCTGCAAAAAATAATAAGTCGAATCCAATTCGAAGATTAAAAGAACAACGCAATCTGCAACATTAACTGAATTACATAATTTTAGCTTAGCTTATACCGTTCGTTATACATTAAACGCGCATTCGAAAACGTATTTTGCGCACACGCGTATTTGCAGCTGTAAAGGTCTTAAAGGTCTGCGTAAAGCGACGCATGTGCAGAAAGTTTGTAGCTTTGAGGTCCGGATTATGGGTGTCTGAATTAACGACTTTTGACTGTATTTATATTTTTAGTTGTTCATAATTTCTGATTAATTTTATAAAAGGTTTCAGAAATTTTAATTTGAAATTAGGTTCTGAATGCATGGCAGAATCAGAATTTAAAAAGTGAGAGTACAGTAAAATCCTGCAAATTATAGCTTCATCACTGGAGTATCATTTTAAGCTTTTGCTTTTCTCTTTCCATTCCTAAGCTAATGGCTGACACTTCCTGCTGCATCACATGGGTTCGCTGATCATGACATCACTGACCAGTAAGCCGCTTGTACTAAAGTCTTATTCTTTGAGATAGTGCTGGTTCTGGTCACAGAGGAAGGAATAGGAGGAGACATCCTTTTCCTCTGTGGTTAATGCAGTGCTTTCAAGCTTTTGATAGTTTAAAGGGGTGTAGAACTTTTTTTTATACCCAGTGCACAATTTTTTTAACAGAATCTTTGGAACTTCAAAATTACATAACACAAAGGCATTAAAACCTTTGTTCCAATGTGTGAAACAAATAATTATTTTAACTTTTAACCAAAAAATGTAGGACTAAACTGGAAGAAAATTAAACAAAAAATAAATACACGAAAACCACAAATGAAGTATAATGAAATGCAAACTGTAATTACATGAATCATTTACCAAATTTAAGCACTTTTCAAAAATAAAAGAGAAAAAAAAAAAAAAAAAAAAAAAATCCTGGAACTACATTCAGGTAATTCAAGAAACTTTATAATTGTACATGAAACACACTCATATAATGAAAATGCAACTTGTATTTTCAATGAAAGAAAAACCTTTAGTATTTTTATATTATATCCAATAAAAAAATTAATGGAATGAAAATAGGCACTAAGAAGCCATAGATTTAATATTTTTATACTATATCCAAGAACAAATTTATTGAAATTTATGAAGTGGTACAAAATGTTTCAGACATTGTATAATTACTCTTGTTTAAATAAATGCCACTATTAAAATGCTATTTAATGGCAGAAAATTCATATACCTATTTCAGTAATTTGGAATGTCAGAAATGTATTACAATATTTTCAATGAAAAAGGGTAAAGTGGAAGTATACTAAATTTTTTACATAAAAATTCTTAAATTTACAGAATAATGTGCCCTTTTAGCAAATAATTCACAGCAAAGGAAACAGAACCTTTTATTTCAGGAATAAAAAGTTTACCTTTTATCTAGAAATAAACCTGATATGAAATTAATAGACTATAAATATTACATCGTGGAGGAGGGGGTTGCTTCGGAAATAAAACAGGTCATCTTCAAGAACCTATGCACAGAGCATTGTTTTTACCAATATATATGAAAAATAGTTTAATTGGTTAAATACTTTAAATTGATGAAAATGACATTAACAACAAACTACACCCACGAAGTCACGATGGTTTGGTTATTTGAATATGGCGAAGCACATGAGGGCTATCCACCTAAGAGAAGGGATGTCTTCTTCTCAGCCACTGATAAAGTTGAGTTGATAGTGTGTATTTATTTTCGTTCCTGAAGATTCTGAACATAATAAGCAGCTGAGTTTATTAAACACTGAGTTTAATAAGCAGTGGGTACTGTACTTGTCAACGCTTGGCACAAAACAGAAATTAGGAAAATAGTTGAATAAAACTATTGTTTCAACTTTAAGCTTTAAACAACAAATGAATAATAATTTAGCATGAAAAACATAACAAAGAAATTAACTATTTTATCACTAAATTTAACCACAAGTAAGCACATTTTCACCCGCATTTTTTGTAACATCTTAACATTAACTATATTCTCTTATTATAATATGCACAGATTACTATGTACTTGATTTAAAATGGTAATATTAATGATGCCTTTATAGAACTTCAAGGAAAAACAAAAACCTGACTGAGAAACCTTATTTAAACTCTTTATAAAACTTAATACTTTAATTTAAGCATTACTCACTTTTCCTAAGATATCTAAAGGAAGTTTGGAATTCAGCATTACCTAGATAGAACAGAAAAACAATTAGGAGAAAAAACAATAGAAGGCTTAAAATGATTTACTAAAGTGCAAAATACTTAAAGACAGTTCTAAAATAAAGTGATTCTATTATTATTTTCATACTGTAAGAAAGTTACTGTTGCATACACATTTTGACTCGTGTCACAAAAAAACATATATGGACCATTTTTCTTTATTTCCATAACCTGTATGTCTGTTTATCGTTAAGTTAGATAACTGTTTCAATTCACTGTACCATTTCCGAAAATCCTGTGGAAGCAGAGAATACCATTCTGACTTAGCTGACCTTAGCTGACTTAGCTCTTGAATCATTAGCTTGGCTGGTAACAAGGCTGGGATGAGAAAAACGATAGGATCGTAAATACCTTGTGTTATAGATATGATCTTCCGTTTAGTAAAATTTTCTACTTCAGCATCAGATTTATAGCAGATCATTAAACAATCCTCCTTTCTATCCCATCCAATCCTCAAAACCGAAACTGGAGTTATAAGATCTCTCTTAAACAAACTTCTGTTCTCAGATGACAACTTTTCTATTCTACAGGATTGAACTGCCATAATCTCAAATCCATCTTGGCTTCAGCCATAATTTCAGTTGACTTTGAGAGAGATTCTTCTAATTCAGATGCACTATCTACGAAGGTTATGTTGTTAATACAGAAGGACTTCAGGAGTTTGCCAGTAATTGTTTTGAGTTCTTCTGGACACTTGTCCAAATAACTGTGCTGAGTAAAAATAGGTTACAAGTAGCTCCAAACATCACTCTGCTATGCTGATAGACTAATTTTACCCACCTTCTCCCATCACAAAAATCAGCAATTTTCTTCTTTAACTTCAGTTTGGAGGAAGACTCTTCTAATGTCTCTATCAAGTTAGGCTCTTTGAAGAGACAGTCATTTAGGGATGATGCTCTTCCAACTTTGCACGAGGCATCAAAAACTGGTCTGATAGAGGTAATGGCACTCTCTGAGAAAGAGGGTGCCTGCCCATCTATCTCCTGCCCACCATAGGGAAAATTTATGATAAACTTTTAGTTCAGAAAATAAAACACTACTTGGAAGATTAAGGGTGAGATAACGGACTCTCAGTATGGTTTTCGAGAGCAGCGCTCAACTATCCAAGCTATTAGCACCAAACAAAAGGAAATCTATTACGTGTATGACTCTAACAATCATGTTGCCGTACTCAGTCTGGACCTGAAAAGTGCGTTTGGTTCTCTGTGGTGGCCAGCAATCCTGGAGGCACTTCACAACACTCAGATCCCTAATAATCTGCTATAGGTGTGCAAAAGTTATCTCTCTGATCGCATTCTTGTAGCAGTACATGATGGAGGAGTTCTCGAAAAGAAGCCGACCGGGGGCTGCCCTCAGGGTTCATGTGCAGGACCTGAAATATGGAATGCAACTTTTATTTCCATTCTCAAGGCACTGTGGACAACCCACACAAAGGTGATTGCTTTTGCTGATGATGAGAGATTCAGAGGCAAGACGAGAGACCAACTGGAAAGAAACAGTAATGAGACCATAGCAAATCTTCTATGGCTCTGTGAAGGCAAAAAACTCACTATCTTGGAGCAAAAGACAAAGTATTTGATCGTACATAAACCTGGTCAAACTTTTGCAAGAAATTCAGTTTGAAGCTGATGGGCTGCACAATCAAACAAACTCGAAAACTAAAACTGATAAGGCTTATAATTGATGAAATGCTCTCCTGGCTGCCTCACCTCAGAGCAGTCTACACGAGGACACACGCAACTGCAAATACTTTAAGGGCTCTTCAAGGCACAGACTGGGGCCTTAGATAGGCCACATATTCCAAAAATCATCTATCAGTCCGTCATGAAAAAAATGGTCCTCTACGTAGCAGCAATCTGGGCAACTCCAATGAATGAAAGGAAAAAAAAAAAATTGCTCAGTAGTATACAATGCCCTTTGTTCTGGCTATTACAAAAGGATACCATACGACAGTGGCAGCTACAATACTGGCGGGATTTTTGCGACTACATATTGGAGCAGCACAAAAAGCAGCAGTAACAACGGTCCTGCAATTACACCTTTGCACCACTTTTGGGCCGCTATGCTATGAACCAGAGGACTATGAAACATAACGCATACTTGCCAACCTATGACACTCAAAAATCAGGAGATTTTTCACAATGTTAAAAAGATTTTTTAGAATATAAAAATATAGTTTTTAATAATGAATTAACTTTAAATAGTTACTAATTCTTAAATGCAAGCAACACAAAAATACCTTACACATAAAAAACATTTTTATTACTTGCATCGTCTAAGGGGGGGAAGACACTTTAATCAGTTTTCATACAAATGTTATGAACAGTGGCAGATTTTGCTTTCATTAAGATAGAAACTTCATAATGTTGTTCATAGCAATTGCTACGTAGGCCTGCTTTTGCTAATAAAAGTTTTTCTAATGTGTCATCACTAATATTAGATCTAAATTTAGTCCTTGTTTTCGCAACAACACTGAAAATCCTCTCGCACTCTGCATTACTATGGGGAACTGTCAAAATGGCCAACATAATTCTAGACAGTTCACTATATTTTAAAATTCCATCAGAACCTTTAAGTTTTCCAATTAAACTCCACTGGGTGTCAATTTTATAACTTCACCCAAGTTTTCTAAATGTAAACTGCAAAATTGCGACTGCAATATTATCAGTGGCAACATTAATATCATCATCCTTCATGACTAAATGAAGTAATACAGGAAATCGGTTCAAAAAGTACCTTATATCAGAAAAAGATGCATTTGCTAGAGCAGAAACATCAGCAACTTTAGCATGCAAAATCACTTCATCGTTGACTGGAAATTTATGTAGTATGTAACCACACACTCTACAGAAGTAACATCTAACATGAGGATAAAACTTATTTTTGTCTTCTTCTGAAAGTTCTTCCACTACTTTTGTAGTTGCAGCTCCTATTACCATATTTTCACCTTTCTTCTGATTTTCTATTTCACCATAAATCACAACTTATATAGAATTACAAGACAAAACACAGACTGGTTTTACAAACTTTGATAAACTACATCACTCTTTACTTTAGGTATTTTATAACTTTCAATAGAGCCTTTTATCTTAACTCTCGAAGCATTTACTTCTTCTTTAAAAAATGCAAGAAGTGGGTTCCATTGATCGAGGATCGTAGATGAGCATTTCTTTAAAGACAGCCAGCGTGTACACACATTACAAAATTTTTCTCATTTCAGTATTATGCAGCTGTTGGAACTGTTTCAATTTTTCCTTCCTTTTAGAATTCCTTTCAAGATAATAATAAATATCAACAATGTGTTCATCCACATTTATTGGTAAAGAAGTTGCCCATTTTTTCAGTTGCTAAATTTAAGATGTGACAGGTGCACCTCTTAATCTGCAAATCTGAATTTTCCTTTCTTAAGATGCCTGCAACACCAGTCTTCAAGCCTACCATTACTGGAGCATTATCGGCACCAAGTGCTAAGCAATTATCCAGAGGGACTGCAATTTCTTTTAAAGTTTTAATAATTAGCTGTGCTATATTAAAGCCTGTCGAATGTCCTAAAGTGGGAACAGAAAGTAAACTGCACTCAATTTCTGAAGACTCTGGATTAAAAAAAGAAACAATTGGATAGTTTTGAATCGGTATTATTGCTTCCATCCGTAGAGAGGCAGAACGGAGCTGTTTTAAATGCAATCAATAACTGAAGATTTATTTTTCAAACCCATTTCTTTAACAATTGCACCTGTTTTGGTCCTTGAGTATTTCTTAGCGATTTCACTATCGGGATTTCACTATTTTTCTAAATAAAGCTGCCGTATGATCCAATGCATTCAGTGGCAGGTTGTGTTCCAGTAAAAAGGCAGAGAATAGACATTCTGCATTAATAACTGTTTGGCCCTTTGTTTGCGACGAAAAATTTAATTTTTCTTTTTTTTCCCCCAAAACAACTCATGTTGTCCTTGTGTTTTTGTGTACACACATGTTTGAGAACATCCGCCCTTCCACCACGTGAAATCGTAAAATCACAACGACAGATGGTACACATCGAAAATTTATTACATTTCCTTGAGGAAATAATAGAAGGAAAGTCAACTGTGTACGATTTTTGAAACGTACATGAGTATTTCACCTTTCTCGCAGACATAGCAAAAGATGATAATTTCTAAAACTATTTCCCGAAGGCATGTGTACTCACACAACTCAGGACAAGATGAACGAAATAACTAAAGAACATCCAAATAACAGCTTTGAGCTTGCTTTGTGTTCATTGGCTAATATACGCCAGATGACACGCAGTGGAGCTTGATGCCAATTGAAGAACTGGAGAACAACGTTTCTAAATACGTATGCTTTCACTCACAAAGCAGAAATTCTCATCTGATTTGCAAGGTTTTGTTTTAGATATAATCTAGAGAAAATTCAATTGCTTTCAGATGTTCAAAATCACTTTCTTTTGTTCATATAACGAAGTATTAAGCCAAGTTCCATAAAAATCGTGAGAAATTTTAAGAATAAGATAAAGTCGGGAGAAATATATTGTAAATTGGGAGAGTTGGCAACTCTGAAAACGTCTTATAAATGCAACCCATCCATCACACCATGGAAAAGGGGGTTATAGCACACACCACATCTCAGCGCAGCCCCCACGAAGAAAAAGTCCAGTAAATGTTGTCCATCCATCCTATCACGGAAAAAGAGCCTTGGCCGACACATCACGAAAAGCTGACTCTGACATAAAGGAATAATACTATATATACACGGATGGTTCAAAAGTTGGCGGACAAGTAGGGTGTGGCCTCATAATAACTAAGAAAAAGGAAACGCTTATAACATGGACAGGTCATATAGGATAGAAAAATTCAGTATTCCAGGCTGAAGCAATTGTGATACGCAAAGCTATTGAGTTAACAAGCCCCCCCCCAGTAGGATCCACTATCAATATTCTTACAGACAGCTTGTCGGTCATATATGCCTTAC